AGCCTCTCCTCATAAGACTTGTGCTCCAGACCCCTCACCATCTTTGTTGCCCTTCTCTGGACCCGCTCCAGCACCTTGATGTCTTTTTTTCTGGTAGGGAGCCCAAAACCAGACACAGTACTCACGGTGAGGCCTCACCAGTGCCGAGTACAGGGAGACGATCACCTCTCGGGCCCTACTCACCACACTGTTCCTGATACAGGCCAGGACACCATTGGCCTTTTTGGCCACCTGGGCACACTGCTGGCTCCTGTTCAGCCGACAGTTGACCAACACCCCCAGGTCCTTTTCTGCCAGGCAGCTCCAGCCACTCTGCCCCCAGCCTGTAGCGCTGCAAGGGGTTGGTGGGACCCAAGGACAGGACCTGGCACTTGGCCTTGTTGAACAACACCCCCATCCAGCCCCACTCACCTTAGCAATCTCCTCCTGCAGCTCATCCTCCGTCTGCTCCGACTCTGGATGGGGAAGAGAGACGTCACCAACCGCCCCCAGCAGCGGGGACCCCTTCCCACTGGAGGGGAGAAGTGGGGCTGGCAGGGAGCGAATCACCAACCACCCCCAGCAGTGGGGACCCCTTCCCACTGCCCTCAGGCAGGCAGAGGAGGGGAGAAGTGGGGCTGGCAGGGAGCGAGGAGGGACAGGGCCCTACCTGAATAGTCCACTATGTGTGTGGGGACCTTCTCAGGGGTGACAGCAGCCGGGATCGTGATCTCCTCTGCACGAGGGGGCACCTGCAAAGCCAGCAGACTCTGTTCCAGCCACGCAACCGAGAGGATGGGTGACAAGGGGACTTCAGATCCCCCCCAAAACCGCTGCCCAGCACCCTCCCTGCCAGGGTGGGGTGAGCTCCCAAGATCACGGATCACTCTTGGCCCACTGGGTGGAGGCTGTGGCTCAGCTCACTACATTTTAGCCCTCAGAGTGAAACCTCCAACTGCCTCCCAGCCCCAAGTCCTGCCTCGAGATACATCCGATGGCGCGGGAGGGGAAGGGAAGCCAGCTTGCAGACAAGTCAGTGCTGCCGCCCGCGCTACAGCTCCGGAGATAAGCCCTCAGCTCCCCCCCAGCTCTGCGGGCTGACCTCTCAGCAGCTGGGGGAAGCACTAAGCTGATTGCCCGGGCTTTGCTGCCAGAGCACGGGAAGGTGCGTGGAGCCGGTCCTCCCCCGAGCCCCTGAAGCTGATGCCTCCCCAGCACAGACATGGCAGAGGGCACCATCTGCTCGCGGGCAGCGGGAGAAGGCACCTGGGGCAAACATGTCCAGCCAGACCGATGCCGACTCCCCATCCGAACCACGATGGGACAGCGAGCTGCTGAGCCAGGGGCTGCAAGGGGAACAGGCAGGCAGGCTGGATGCTGCTCCTCACAGACAGCCCAGCTCAAAGCACCAGGTGTTTCCCCAGACACACACAGAAGGGCAGGGAACACAGCTCAGCTCCTTCCAAGGGCTCTGTGCTGGGAGCAAGGGCTCTTTTCCTGGGGAGCAAACAGTGCTGCCGTGTAGGGAAAGGCTGGGCTCCATGGGCTGCTGTGCTGGTGGACGCAGAGACCCCCAAGGCTCATCACACCAGTGGCCACAGTGGGGAGTGAGGCCCTAGGAGATACCTCCAGCCCTCCCCAGGACGGGTGGTACCCCAAGTCGGGGATTAGAGCCAACACCATTTCAGCTGGAGCTCCGTGTGGTCCTCACAGGCTTCAGCTCACTCAAACCAGCCCCGTGGCCGTCACCAGGCCCCAGGGAGCTGCGTGCACCTCCTGGACACCCCCTCACTCGGAGACACCGGGGACAGAACCGCCCCAACCGCCGCCTGGAAGGGCACCCGGTGAGGGCGGCCCGGGTCCCCCATCGCACTCACCTCTTCGGGGAACTCCTCGCCCACCAGGGCCATGATCAGGGATGTCTTCCCCACCTGGGCTAGGAAAGAAAGGGAAGACGGTTGGCACCGGCCCGGCGGCGGCAGCAGCCACGACCCCCGGGGGGCACCGGGGGCGGCCCGGGCCCGCGGGGGACGGGGAGGTCGGTGTCTGTGCCCCGGGGGGAGAGGGGGGCGGAGACCGGTAAAGCGGCACAACGCTTCAGCCCGGGGCTACTGAAGGGAACCCGTGAGAAGGGCCCCGGCCGCAGGAACCAGCATTAACGGCGGCCGGAGGGCACCGCTCCCGGGGCAACCGCCGCGGGGGACACCTCCTCGGGACCGCGGGTAAGGCCCGGCCGCTCCCCGCCCCCCCCCGGAGAAGCCCTCCCGGTGGCGGCCGGCACCCCGGGCACCCACCCCCGTCCCCGCCTTACCCTCCCCGAGCAGGAGGATGCGAACGTCCCGCTTCATGGCGGCGCCCCCGCCGCCGCCGTTCCCGGGGCCGCCGCCGCCGCCGC